ACTCAGGATGTATTGTGTGCTTTAGGGAGTAGAAATGGCAGCCTCTCCAGGCTACTGACTGGAAGTAGAGTGAATTGAGATGCAAAAATGAGTGAAAGAGAAGAGGAAGAGTCTTCACCTGTGAGCATGAGCTAGCTTTTCAGAGTTTCTTGTTGGCCCCTCCCCACGTCGCTTTTCATAGACTTTTCTTTGTTTTAAGGAAAATCACAGCATAGCCCTATAGAAACCAAACTATGCTTTCATATCACTTCATATCATTTTCTTCTTTACACCTGATATCCCTAAAATAGCTTGATTATGTAATGGCTAGCTTAACTACAAAACATTTTCTTTATTACTGTTTATCTTGAGTTTTAAAAAATAGAGATAGTAGAATAATGTAACATTTGTAGCTATAACTGACCCTAAAATTAAGGTTATTTAACTTCTTTTAAAAAGTACAGATGGCCATGGGAGAAGGGCACGAGCGTGATGAGGAACCCTATCCAGAGAAGCAGCGATGCCAAAGATGGAGGCAGAGGTGAGGACATGGAGAGAGGGTGCAGCTGGGGAACTAAGGACTCCGGACTCTGTATCTGCTCATTCACAGAATAAATCCCCCAAACCAGCTCTCAGTGGGGGCAGGTAGCTGGTCTCTGCTACTCTTAGGGTGGCTTTAACCTCCTGCCCTTCTCTTTGCTCTCTCCTGTCATTGATTTCTCTCCTAAACTTCAAAGTGTTGAGTGTTGACTGGCACATTAGACAATCTGGTAATGCTAATGAGGTGCACAGAACAACCACCTTTGACCCTGCCAATCAACACTCAACAACACGGGTTTATTTATTCTGTGAATGAGAGGATACAGGGCTGGGGGTTAAGGAGAAGAAAAGTTAGGGTGCCTCTGGTCTTTCCTCTTGGTGACAACACCAGGAACATATCTGGACCTCAAGTATGAGGAGAGAGGATGAGGCAGGTGTGGGTGTTGCCCTCTCTCATCCTCAGAGGGAAAGAAAAAGTTCCCTCGAAGGTATGGCTACCTCTGGGTGACTCTCCTTCAAAGTTATAGGCCAAAGCTCCCCTCTCCCCTCAATCAGAACGTTTAGGTACTCTGAGAGACCGTGGGCAAGAATGATGTCATAAATAGATCAGTGAGGCCCATTTATTGAGCACCTAGAACATAGCACAGATACTGGTACCTTTTCATTCATCACCTCTGACCCTCACTACAATCTGCCATGTGGGATTGTGGTCCCACCCCACGTGATTTACACATGAGGAAACTGAAGTTCAGAAAGTAAATCATGTGACCAGGTCACCCAGACAGGAAGTGGCAAGATTGGAACTGGAAATTCTCTGAATCTTCTTTTGCTTGTCATTTGTACTGTCCCCTTCCCTTACTCTCCCGCAGTGGAGGGACAGCAGAGAAGAAACTTACCCAGCAACTCCTAGTCCCTACCCACTCCCATGGGGCTTCTCTGTGCCCTGAAATCCTCCCATGGGGCTTCTCTGGACATGGTCTGTGTGTGGAGGAGGGTGAAGGGGGGTGCCCTCCTCTTACTGAGCCTGGGTCAGGTGAGGCCTTGGGCTCTTAGTGTGGGGATTCCCCTACATCCCACAGCAGCCCTTAGGAGATGGTGGGGCCTAGTCTACAGACAGTGA